ATGTAGACAAATGAAATCATTAACTAATTTAATTTGCTCAAACATTATTTTGGTTTTATCCGATTTGTTCAAGGTTCAAACGACATACTCCGCAATAACGAAAACAATAGGTTTTAGTTTCAATATAAACAAGATTTCACATGGAATCCTCATTTCAAACGAATCAAACATAATAAGATTAAATCTGATTTTTTATTCATAATACTAATTAAATTAATTAGATTTCAATGTTGGAGTATTTCATTATATGTGATTGTTAAGTGAATTTTGATCAAAAAGGAGTAAAGACAATTTGGAATTCCAGAAGAGAAGTACGATGTTTTTATTTCTTAAACTAATGTTTTACTTGAAGATTTCGAGTAGTACAGCCGGAAAGAGAGACTTTTACCCACGCCTAATCACTGCTCGATCTGGGGTTGAAGTTTTTGCAATATAATGTGAGGTGTTCATGTTGTCCTTCATGGGTTTAGGTTATTACTTTTTAGTAGTTATTTGCTGTAATTTGATTTGAATTCTGTCCTTTGCGTTAATTTCATTTTGGGAAGTTATTTGTGATTTATATACTAAGAAGTGCTTTTAACAAAATGAGCTTCATTTTCGAGTGATGGTCAACCGGACTTTTCAATGAGGCGTTTTAATATCTAATCCATAGTTGTTCCTCATTGGTATGATGGTTTTCTTGTGTCAGAGATATATCGTTCTATGGAATCACAATAATGTTTTCCATGAGATTTAATAAACGTTGTTACTCATTTAAATAGTCCTCCGTACGTAGTATATTGTCAAACCCTTTTTTAGACTTAATGGAACATGTTCATTTTACTTTAAGAAATGAGACCATAAATGAGATTGGAATGTGTCTGGTGGAAGGCGCACCAAAGTCCAAAGAGGACCCACAAAATAGGGGTTAATTGCCCCAAATTCACCTGTGTTATTAAAATTTTGCGTGTTAGCCCCTTCTGCTATAAAAAATGCACACAACCCCGGTGCGTTTTAATAAACTAAGCATATTACCCCTAAAAACGGTAAAGATAACTTGATTGTGTCACACGCGCGATTACTGCGGTTTTGGGTCACCTTTTCACACGCGCGATTACTGCAAAATGTTCAATTTACCCCATATTTATCACCACCTTTCCTAATAATGGCTGTAAGTTGATTTTTTGATTTTTTGTTTTGTATTCAGTTTTTGTAGGTGAAGTGTGTAGACTTGAACAATTAATTTATACAAGTACTACATTTAATTATTTGATTGCCAGATTTTTAACTTCTTTTACAATTTTTTTTTAAGAAGCACGTTTAAAAAAGTGATGCCACGTAGAGCATCAGCAACATTTTATAACAAATTCTAATTTTAAAACCTTAAATTGGAGTGATCCATGGAGCTGTTCGAATAATGGCTGGAACAATACGCAAAAATTAAAAAATAAAAATAGCAAATTTGAAGTCTAGCAGGTTTTCAAATAACAACTTTAAATAAAAATTGGGAAAGTTCCCGAAATAGGACTAAAAAGTTTGAAAATTCTAAAATAGGATTGTCATGTTTTTTATTCCCAATATAGGAGTAATTACTGTCAAATTTGGAAAATACTACTGCCATGTTTGAAGTCTGGTACTGCCAAAACATGACAGTAATTAGTGCTATTTTTAAAAAAAAAAAGCATGACAGTTCTATTTTGGAATTTTCAAACCCTTTTAATCTTATTTCAGGTAATATTCTCATAAAAATTTAATCCTTCCTGAGTAAATCATTGCCGGCAGAATTAGCAACTAGTTATTTTTTTTTTGAAAATAATTAGCAACTACTCCGTAGTTATTAAAAACAACAACCTTAACATTTAAGCAAAATCCTATTCGTCAATTCGATCAAACAATTAATTATTCACCTTTATCTGTTCAATATAGAGGCCGTTTGGCAACACTGTTTTTCGGCTTATCAGACTTATCAACCAGCTTTTTTACCATACACGTAACTTTTGCTTTCGCGCGCTGAATTATGTTATAAGCAAAAAAAAGTAAGGTTGGAGTTACTTTTCTGCAGGGGCGGAACCAGGGGTGGGCGAGCCGGTGCTGGCGCCACCCCTTCGCCGGAGTATTTTTTGTAGTAGGATTAGCTATATTGATGGCCGCCCCCGCGTAGGCTTCATCTTCTTCGTTGAAACCTGGGAGATGCAAACCAGAGACGAAGAAACGACGGACGGTGCAGACTGTTTCTTTTTTAATTGAACCAAATAACCCAAACGACGTCGTTTGGATAAGTGCACATGAAAATAACAAACGACGCCGCCTGGAAAATAACCTGACATGAGCGTTTGACCTTCCGCCTTCTCATTCGAAATTTCGAATCCTCGCGTTTGGAATTGGAGCATCCCACGGTTTGGCAAGTCTCCAATAATTGCTTCTTTCGTATTTTGCTTTAAGCCTTTAATTACTAATTTAATTTAAAATTGAATTACTTAATTGCATTAAAGTTCAAATTCTGTTCCAATTTTATTGATTAATTAATTTAATTTATTTAAATTTTAATAGATTATTTGCTTGAATTGATATAAAGTTGAAATTGTTTTGTAAGAATTTAGTTGCTTTAAATTTTAATTCATTTATTGTTCCAATTTATTTGTAATGTAATGTACTCCTCTCAAATTTATATTCCGTAAATTTTAATAACAATTTATGTTGGAAAAATTGAAAATAATAATCCCAAATATCGTTGATCCACTATCAATAATTCCAACTATTAATTATTTTTGTATAATCTCATCTATATGGACCGCCCGAAAATAATGGTCCATAATCAGATATTACCTACTACAACAGGTGAATTGTAATAGAATTTAAGCGTTAAAATTAAAAGTTAAAGATTATTTATAGTGATTACCAGCTACATCTTTTCTCATCCACTTTAAATACTATATGAATTTACTTATAGTCGGTCACGTCAGACCATTATTGGCGGAAGATTCTTAAAGTTAGGGTTATTCTGAAATAATCGAAAGTTGATAGCTGAGATTATTATGACCGAGCCGTCAGTAGTTGGGTTTATTACTATCAATTTTTCCTTTATATTTTTGTATTTTAAAATACTTTTAGCCACCCCTTTATTTCCCTTCTGGTTCCGCCACTGCTTTTCTGGCTGTATTGGCTGAAGTTACTGCAGATGACCATTTTAGCTATTTTTACACATACTTTTTTCTTTATTTTATTAATAAAATATATTTTTAAAATAATTTTTTCTTAAATCAGCAGAATCAGCCAATGCAGCCAATTCAGCCAGAACTTCATAAATTTCAGCAGAATCAGCTAAATCAGACGACTTTCGTGCTACCAAACGGGCTCATAATGTGCAAACAAACACACATTCAAAAACTAGAAAAAGCCGTTGCTCAATAGATGCATAGTGTAGAAGAAGAAAAATAGCCCAAATTAGAACAAAAAATGCAGTTCAAAACGGACCACTTCTTTCCTATTAGAGCTCGGATTTTGTTTTTATTTACTTTATTTCCAGAAAAAGAAAATTACAATAATCCTTTTTTTATGGAATTTTATCGGTCTAGGACTCGAAAGTTATGTCTACTATCAATTTTGGACCTAAAAGATTATTTGTATCAATAAGGGACCTAAAACAACCTAAACTATCAATATTGGACTCAATAAATTAACGCCTTCAGTTTCTAGCTAACGGAGTAATGACGCGGCGACAAATCATTTAAAAGATGCCTGCTTCGTCTCCGGCTTTATAAGAGTTCACCGACATCTCATCTTCCTTCATTTTTTCCACCCTTCATCATCACCAGAAATCTCAACTTCATATATATGCTCCAAGACAAAAGCAGCCTGAGAAGATCATTGCAGCAATGCTAAATCATCGGAGCTCACGCATCTAACTTCATCCTATGTGCTCTTCAAGTCGGAATGTTTGAATGTACAGAAAAGGAACATATCAAGGAGCAAGCCAAGGAGAAAAACACATTGAAGCTCCATTTGATTAAGTATTTTGTTTTTTTATATAAATTGTAGGATGCTGTAAATTGTGGAGATCTTGAGAATATCTGATTATGAAGTACAAAAATTTGCAAAATTTTTTATATGTTTTTTTTATCATTTGTGAATTTCTGAGAATGTAAAAATTGGGTTGCCAATTTGAGAAACCCGCAAGCTACAGCTTAGGAGAAAGGGAAGTGTCCCTAATTTTCAAAGATTTTACTTCATTATCTAGGAGTAGCCATATTTGTGATGTTAATGATTTGGAAATAGATTTAGTACTTGCAAACCGAAGCAAAAACTCAAACTGGTCTCCTTGGAGAACTTTAGTAACTTTATTAGGAGGATCATATTTGAATCTTCTTATTATAATTTATTTTTTACAATCGTGTGAAACTTAGTTTAAAGAGGTTTATGTTTATGCTCTGTGTAACACCGTCCCCAAATATATTTACTTTTATGTAAATAATGTATTGAACCTTATTAAAGAATTAATGAATTTACGAAGTTGTAAATTTTTGTTATTTCTTTCACGTGAATAATAAATTGCACGTGGGACACACACCGGGAGCGGGGGCCGCCCGACATTTCCGAGACCATATATTTTATTCATCTTGGTCTAGATAATAAATATATAGTGGTGGATATTTCATCGGGGCTATGGAAAAGCCCAGAGTAGACCGGTTGGTCAGAAGCAGCCCAAATTATCGGTACTGGTAATTTATCAGATAACAGCCCGAAAATGAATTTCGGAGGCTTATAAATCAAAGTTGGGGGATGTATATTCATTATACATGTCATAATGAGTAAGAGCACATAATATATTTTATTTGACCCGATAAAATAAAATATATTTAAAACAGTCCGAAAAAATACAACTTTCGGGACAAATTGTGCACTTCGGGACAAAAAGGGTTGACCTCCCACTTGGGTGGGGGCCAACCCACGAATTTGGTCACCCAAATTGATAGCTTGGCCGACTGGAGTGTGAGAATAGCATGTGAGTGGTGTGTGAAGTGAAGGAAAGAGCATCAAACAAAATAAGGTGGATCCCATCCACACTTATTTGTTTAATGAGACAAAGGGTTACCCTCACCCCTCCCTCTACCTCATTCTCGACTAAGAGACACCCAGGAAGAGCAAGAAATCCACCATCCTTCATTCTCCATTGTTGAAGAGAGCTCAACAAAAAGGAATCCCAAGAAAAGGAGCTAAAGTGCTAAAAGTGTGAAAAGATTAAGGTAATGACCTTATTATAACTTCTTCTCTATTTTTTTTCTTCTACCTTATGAGATACATATCATGTGAAGAATCCTTAAGAGGGTTCTACATGTTATAAGTATGGATTAATGGATTGGAAAGTGATTCTATGTCCAAGAACGGACTTAGAAGCCAAAACGACCGGTTCACCGGAAAATAACCTTTTATAGGTTATTTGTATTGATTAAGGTTTTATGATGTTAAAACCTTGTTAGGCACTTGTAAAGGGTATTTCAAGTGATTTCACAAAGTTGGAAAAGTCGCCGGAGTTGTCGCCGGAGTTGACCAAAAGTCGCCGGAGTTTCACCGGAGTTCAACCAAGAAGGGTAGAACTTCATAACGCTAGTTCAAGGTGAGTGGACGGCTTAATATCTTATAACTTTTGGGTTAATTATAAGATTACCTAAATAAATGTTATATGAATTCATAATGATGTTTAAAAGATATTTAAACATGTGATTAGCCAATAGGGTTAAGTTTGTATGAAAGAAATAGATTGTTTATGCATAGAATATGATATGAAGAATTATATAAAATGCATATTTGCTTGAAGTGCATTAGAAGCACAAATGAATATTTTAACTTAATTATGCGATGATTAAGTTGATTTGTACAAGGTTTGAAATGGCGGTCAACGACCACGTTGACCGGTGGATAATGGATTAATTAATACCGGTCGATATTAATTAATTGTACATTTACATAATTGCATGGCTTTGCATGGAATGTGATACATAAGTTTTATGTATTGGATTAGTTATGAATGGCTAAATATGATATAGACCCTATCTAGTGTGATAGGTGGTAAGTCATAGGTCGGGTGGAGTACCCAAGGATCGGGCGGTTATCCTCAAAACTCGGTTATATAGGGTGGAGTACCCAAGGATCGGGCGGTTATCCTCAAAACTCGGTTATATAGGGTGGAGTACCCAAGGATCGGGCGGTTATCCTCAAAACTCGGTTATATAGGGTGGAGTACCCAAGGATCGGGCGGTTATCCTCAAAACTCGGTTATATAGGGTGGAGTACCCAAGGATCGGGCGGTTATCCTCAAAACTCGGTTATAGGGTGGAGTACCCAAGGATCGGGCGTGTATCCTCAAAACTCATAGGCTACATTTAATGATCTAGGACCGGACGGCGTCCTTATGATAATTTATTTGAACAAGGAGGAGTTCTATACACTCATAGGTATATGGGTGGGTTGGGATTTAAGTCAAGGATATTGGCTACTATTATTTTCCCAAATAAACAATGACCTACGGGTCGGGTATTTCCAAGTGTATGTATACTAATATGTATTTCAAACTTGGGGGAAGGACTATACGTATATGTATCATCCTATGTTTGGGTCTTATACTTGAAACGCTAGTTATTCTATATTTAGCCTGCTACTCGCTCGGTACTTGTACTGACCCCTTCGGGGGGCCCCACCATTCTCAGGTTGAAGCTAGGGCTTGCTACCTGCACCTTCCTACGGGTGACATCAAATCAAGGAAGACGTGGTTCGTGCTTCCTCATTTTATTTCAAATTACCAAACATTGCTCATGGATATTTTTATTTGTTATAAACTATTCTTTTGGGGCTTGCATGCCCATGTTATTGGCCGGTTGTGGCTTATGACTTACCGTTGAATATTTCCGCTATTCATTGGTTTAAATGTGATGTTGTTATGTATGTTTACTACTGAGTATGGATGGATTATTTTTCTCGAACGCCTTGTGTAATCAAGTGAGGTTGACTCGCAGGTGACATCACTTGATTTCACGGCGGTTGTACACGCGCTTGGATTGCGGTCTGGGGCGTGACACTCTGTATTGTAGAAGATGATTGATCAAGGAAAAGGTTTGTAAAGATGGGGTGTAAAGTGCAAACCTTGGGGATTGAATTCCCAGAATTTTGCGAAGATCAAGGAAAAGGTTTGTGAAGAAACAATTCTTCGTTGTGCATGGAGTCGGTGGATCGGAGACGGTGTTTGGCCGTGTAAGCGTTGTACGTGAACTAACAGTTCTTGTGTTTGAAGATGTTGCGTAGCAGAAGAGGATGGTTGCAGTTATTAATTTGATTATATAATAAATTAATTTTTTAGTCTATGTGGCGCACATCATTACTCTGTTAGGAGCAAACTAACGGCCGTTAATTTGTTAGGTCCAGAATTGATAGTTTAGAATGTTTTAGGTCCCTTATTGATACAAATAATCTTTTAGGTCCAAAATTGATAGTAGACTTAACTTTCGGGTCTTAGATCGATAAAATTCCTTTTTTTATTGACTCTACATAAGCATGAAGCCCAAATTATAATCCCTGGTAATACGTACTAGACTAAGTAACCTAAGGAAATTTCAAATTGTATTACTAAACAAGCTAGAAACATTTAGAAACCAAAAAAAGTAAAATTAAAAGTATCAAACAATACGAAAAGCACTAATTATGGGTAAATGGGTAATACGTACCTAAAAAACAATTTAAAAATAAAAAAGAAAAAAAAACAATTACGAGCCGCATCCTAATTTTTCACCATCGTAGACATCCAATACGTAGAGGTTTTAAGAAGAAAAGTTGGTGGAAGCTTGATATTATGGATCCTCTGACTTCAAATCGGATACAATTCCATTTGGGTGGACTTCATCCCCTTCGAATGTTGAATAGAGTATTGAACGGCCAACCCTAATTTAGCGTAAACACTTTGGAAGTTTGAAGGCTGCAATTGAATAATAAGGGTATAACGGGATATTTGAAGAAAAATAACGGGGTTAGTTTTTATGTTGAGAGAGGCGGGTAAGCATGTTTAATGAAAACACAAGGGGGTTCTCGTGCATTTTTGATAACAAAGATGGGTAATGTGTAACATTTAAATATCACAAGGGGGTTCTATGCCTTTAACCCCACAAAATAGTACCGCACTTTGTTGAAAAGTAGTAGCCTGCAGTCTGCAATCATTGTTGATTTTATGGAGTCGCGTGATGTCATTGGTGTGCGTATGATGTTTACCCTTTTCAGTGAGAGAGCAGTGGGGAGATGGAGGACAACACAACAAGTGAGATGCAAACATTGGTCGGCAGAAACAAGGACATATCTGTTCCAAGCATAATGAATGACGATGCAAGAAATCGGAAAAGGTCAGAGACGGGAAGGGATGACAAGATGAACAAGGAAGACGAAGTATTGCTGCCCCCCCCCCCCCTCCTGAAGCACCGCCTTGGAGCGAATGAAGAGCCAGCGATTAGAGGTCGATGTTTCACGGTGGGACTTGGTCACCCGCGCTCTTATGCTCTATCTGCGTTCAAGTTTTTTTCTTTTACTATCTTGTACTTCTTTGTTAATTATTGAGACTTGTGGGTGTTTTTTGTTGTGAGATTGAGTGGAGGCCATCTGGCTAATCTGGCCGATAATAGATTCGAAATTCTCGCATACTCAACGATTAGTCTCACTCATTTTTTGGTGATCTATTCCGTGTTTGATTATGAGGGAGTGTGGCTATTAGAAATCTAGAAGGGAGACACGGTCTATTCATGATGTTGGGTTGTTTGATCGTATGAAAGCTTCTTTTTTAAAAAAATCAATTATCTCATAATTTCTTTGCACAGCTAGATAAGTTCGATAGTGATGGTAGCTTCGGCAACCAGCGGTGGCACGCTAGTGGCAAATGCAATCTTGAAGTTTTTGGCACAACAATCGACCGATCACGACGGCAACAGTTCCTGCAACAGCTCATGCAAGGACATAATTGTCCATGCCGAAAAAATACTCACAATTGAGGAATTTTAAAAACATACACCTATAACCTATTTGTGTACTTCCTTATCATCATCGGTTGCTCCCATTGGGGAAATTATCTAATTTCAAAGTTTCTTGTTTTTTTTTTGTCAATATATTTGGTACATATGTATGTATCATGTATGGAGTACATATATACGAGTATATTATTCCGTAGTGCACAACTTTGATCGTTCTTAAATAAGTGCAACAGTCAACATTTCACATTTGTCGAGGCACAACTTTGACCATTAATATATGTAACTCTCTATTAGTAAAAAAATAAAAAAAATCAGATTTTGAAAATTTACAATGAAACAAATTTAATAATATTTTTTTTCAAAAATATATATTAATACATCAATAAATAAACTGTAATGAAAGTAGAACATGTGAATAGTGTAAAATTTGCAATCTTGCATTTATTTAAGAACGAAGGTAGGTAGTATATAAATACAGAGTCCCATTCCTATCAGGAGTTCCTGAAGAGAAGCTCCGTGCGGACAAGACCATCAGAGGGTCTTCCCGATGGAATTTTTTGATGAAATGTTTGGAGAATGTTCTTCATCAAATCTAGTTTATCCATACCAAATTTCAGCTCAAAATTCGATTGGGAAGACAGTCAAATAAATTCTGGAAACATACTGCACATTATATGTGCGCAAAATGCGTCATATTTTTCAAGATTTTATTTGAATGCCTTCCCGATCGAATTTTGAGCTGAAATTTGGTATGGACAAACTAGACTTGATGAGGAACATGCTCAAAAAATTTCATAAAAAAATTCCACCTGAATCACCCTGTGATGATCTTGTCCGCGCAGGACTTCTCTTCAGGGGCTCGCGATGTGAACTGCCCTCTATAAATACCTAATAATCTCACACCACTCTTCTCACTCGGCACGCTCAATCCTTTCTCCAAAAAACCCCCATCTCTTCTCCCGAACTCCGGAACGATATCGGATTGCACAGAGGAGATGAGCATGAAGGTGAAGAAAGGGTGGCTTGCCGTTCAAGTTGGGTCAACCGACGAAGGAGAAGGAGGAGAGAAGGGAATCCAGAGATTTGTGATTCCAATTTCATACCTCTACAATCCTCTGTTGCAGAGCCTTCTAGAGAGGGCTCGCGAAGTGTACGGCTACCATGCCGACGGCCCCTTACGCCTTCCCTGCTCCGTCGACGATTTCCTCCATATTCGGTGGCTGATTGAGAAGGAAGCTGCAACTTCCGCCGCCGCCAGGAACCGCCACGACCGCTACCACCACCATCTGCCCACTTCTTTGTCCTTTCACTCTTGTTGATGAAGATGAATATTACATACTCCGTAGTATTGTTTTCTGTTACCACGATTCCGCTTAATTTTTAACTACGATCTTCATCTTTTACCGTTGGAACGCCCTTTTTGTTTTTGTTTTATTATTAGATATAGATCTGGGGTAATTTTTAACGGAATCGAGAAGTTTTGAGCTCCTGTTTATGTGCTTCCCTTTAATTAATTAATTAATTAATTAATTACTTGACTAATTTATTTACGGAAATTGTCCTAAATAGGACTAAAAAGTTCCTAAAAAGCACAAATAGGACTACTATTTTTAAAATTCCCTAAATAGGACTAAACATTGATTTTCTACCCTAGATACCCCTAAGAGTATTAATTCATAATGAAATGCTTTAATTCATAATAAAATCACAAAAAACGTAAAAAAATATTTAAAAAAATTAAAAAAATTATAAACATTTATAAAATAAAAAATTTAATTTTTTATTTTTTTATTTTTTTAAAAAAATAATAAAAAATAGTAAAAACCCATAAAAAATGAAAACAATTATGGATACCTTTCTCGCCGCCTCCCAGCACCACCACCTCCGATTGGTGAAATTTCTTCCACTTTTGGTAAAAAAAATGCCATATTTTTCTGAAAATGCCAAAAAGATGGCATAATTACTCTTCAATATGCCAACATTTTCATTGATTATGCCATCATTATGGCATTATTTAAAATGTTGGCATATTTTCGTCCGGTGATGGGAGATGGTGGTGTTGGGGGTGGCAGGGGTGGTAATGTGTTTTTTTTAATTTTATGATTTTTTTATTTAATTTTTATTTTTTTTAAAAAAAATGTTTTTTTATTTTTTTTAAAAAAAAATATTTTTATTAATTTTCTATAATTTTTTTAACGATTTTTAGTATTTTTTTCGATTTTTATTATTTTTTTTTATGATTTTATTATTAATTAAAACATTTCACAAGTTACAAGGGTATATTTGTCCAAACACACATAAATAGTCCTATTAAGGGAATTTAAAAAATGTAGTCCTATTTGTGCAATTTTTCCACTTTTTAGTCCTATTTAGGGAATTCAATGGACGAATTGGATACTCGCTCAATTTGTTGCTTTCTTTGACGGATCAAACTTCAGCTTCGTAATGGGGACTAGTCGGGTAATTATACCAATTTAATGATCAAAATTGTGTTGATAAAAATTAAGTTCAGGAAGTTGCAACCTAATAAGCAAGCTCGGACAATAACTAATTTAAATACGAGATACTAAAAATGTTTTTCGCAAAATTGAAAGTGAAGTACCCAAAATGTCATTGAAATATTACTACTCTTTAGATGTATATGTAGATACCTCGGTACATCCAATTGTAGTACTCCGTATATATATACAACTTGCAGCAACTGTATTGTTATTGATGCTATTATTACCTGGCGACAAAAGTACAGTTATCACTGATGTCAATTGTGGATGGTGGAGAAGGGAAATTGCGTTTGTGGCTGATGATCTATCTACTGATAGTGTCATTGCTAAGTGCTACTCCATATTTGCTAACCGTATAAGTTGTAATGTTGTAATGTATAATTAATACTGCATGTGTCTCTAAAAGATGTTCCATTTCGCTTATCGAGAGTCAACTTAAATCACTCTTAAACTTTTACTTTTTATATCAAAATTTTATAAAAGTTGAATTATTTTTTGCAGGCTTTGTAGCAGGTTTAATGTAGTTTCTGAATATGTAAATTTTATTTACTAAAAATAATCCGAGTTTTCACATGGATCATTTAACTTTATCGTCGGTCAACCTTCGTACTCCGTAGATATTATTTGTGTCCTATTAGGGTAGACGTATCGGTTCGGTTAAACATAATCGCAGCCGGATCATATGCAATTTGGTTCGAGTTTGATAATATTTCATCGAAATCGTACTAAACTGAACCAAAACCGATAAAATTGAACCGAATTAAAGAAATTCAATAAAACCTTCATATATAATTAAAAAACAACAATTCCGAACCCCACCGAACTAAACTGAACCGAACTAAACCGAACCAAACCAAAAACTAGTTTGGTTTTTGTTGGGTACTAATTCTCCCAATCTGTTCCGAATCAAACCGAAATCAATAAAAACCGATAGGGAAAACTGTCAAATAGGTCCTCGAACTTTCATAAAAAAGTCAATTAAGTCATTCTATAGGAGACTCTGTCCGGTCGTCGCGATTTGGGGCGGTTCCCGGTGGAATTTTTTGATGAAATTTTTTAGCATCTTATTCATCAAGTCTAGTTTACTCATACCAAATTTCAGCTAAAAATTTAATCGGGAGCCCATTCAAATTAATTCGAGAACGCAAAAATGCGCAGTTATCTTCAAGAATTAATTTGAATGTGTTCCCGATTGAATTTTTAGCTGAAATTTGGTATGAGTAAACTACACTTGGTGAATAAGATGCTCAAAACATTTCATCAAAAAATTCCACCGGGAACTGCCCCAAATCGCGACGACCGGACAAAACCTCCTATAGAAGGACTTAATTGACTTTTTATGAAAGTTCGAGGACCTATTTGACAGTTTTCCCAAACCGATATGTCCACCCTTGTGTCCTATATTGAATGTTTTGTTTTTGTTTGGATCAATTATTAATAAAGTGGTTGCAAAGTAAAAATCATGCTTGTTATTTGAATATAATAAACTGAAATGATATATATAGATCACATAGTTTTTGCCAACCCAAACAGTTGGCACTTGGCAACCCAAAGAGGAATGTAATACAATCAAAATGAGACGGATAGAGTAGGGTGACTCTGTTTTTCGATTTATTAGGGTTATCAGTTATTTTTTTCCACCAAATACGTAACTTTTAAGTGTCGGTTTGGCTTCAATTAGCAGTTGGGCTTTCAACCACTAGGAATAAAGCAAAAAAAAATTGAATTACCATTGCCTGCCCATACCGGATCATTCTTGACCCGGGATCGGAAATCCAATTCGATATCAGGCCCGAAGGTTGTTTTCATCGAGCCAGTCCCAGTCTAGAACCGGTGACCGGTCTAGCCCTAAATCATCGTGGTATGTACTAAATCAGTGTACTTAAGTGTAAAGCACACACTACGTGCATGACGCGGCATTTGATAACATACGTTTGTGTCTGAAAATTGTGAAGTACTCATTATAGCCTAGCTACCTTAGCTTAATTTAGCTTCTTTTGACCAATTCTCAAGTAATAATAACCAAATATAGGGGTGGGCATAAAACCCGAACCGAACCGGTACCGAACCGTCCCGTAATGGTACCGAACCAAATACCGGGTATTTAAACGGTTCTATATATTTTTGTCCCGTACCGAAACCGTACCGTTTGAAACGGGTACGAGACCGGTCCTAGATTTTGAGAACCGAAAAATACCG